TTTAATTGATGATGGCAAAAATGAATGAGAATAAAGTTGTGTGTGACAAAATATATTTCTAGTGTTGTCTGCATTTCGTAAATTATAATCTGAAGATTCTCCTACTGTATCGGGAACTAATGAAGAGAGGTAATGAGGAGAAAGATTATTGAACATTTTATTTGTTTTATAAGTATTTGTTTGTGTTTGTAGCGTCTTACTTTAAGGGGTTGGATGCAAGTATCTTCATAAAGATTAGAGATAGAAACTAGTTTTGTTGTACCGGTAATTATTCTGCAGGCTTCAAGTTGGATTTTTTCATGTTCAAATTCATCTTGTTGAGTTATGTTGTCCCAAACAACATCCGAGTATTCCAGAAGGGGCCGAATGAAAGAGAGATATATAGTTTCAAGTGACTTACGATCAAGAATGAATTTCAAAGATCTCATAATATAAATTCTTTGCCAGGCTTTTTTGGTAATATTTTGTATGTGGGAATGCCAATTTCCATCATTAGAAAATGTTACTCCAAGATGTTTGTGTGAGGTCACTTCATTTATTTGCACTCCGTTCATTGTCAATGGGGGATGAATTGGTTTGTTTACTTTACGAGAGATTATTACTGATTTCGTTTTACTTGGGTTGAAGTCTACAAGCCAACCATTTGCCCATTCTGTATTTTTTTTCAGATCAGAATTAAGAGTCTCCGCAGCATGAAGTGGATTATCAACAATGATATATAAACTTGTATCGTCTGCAAAGAGTCTGATATATGAGTTAATGTCAAGAACAATGTCATTTATATAGATTAAAAAGAGAAGAGGGCCTAGAATGGACCCTTGAGGAACTCCGGCTGAAATAAAAACGGTTTGAGAGGAACCGCCTGGAAGAACCACCTTTTGTTTTCTATCACTGAGATAGTCACTAAACCAGTTTAAAAGCCCACCATTTATTCCAGCAGACTGAAGCTTGAAAATGAGACCTTTATGCCAGACACGATCAAAGGCTTTTGAAATATCGCAAAAGACAGCTCTCACTTCTTTTCCATCATCAAGGGCTTTGCAAAATGTATTATATATAGAAACAAGTTGATTTGTTGTTCAGTCATTGGGAACAAACCCAGATTGTAATGAAGTTATTGTGTTATTAGCAACAAAGAAATTGAATATATGCTTATGTATAATTTTTTCTAAAGATTTGCTGATCGTGCTAAGAAGTGATATAGGTCTGTAATTAGAAACAATTGAGGGGTCACCTTTCTTGTAGACTGCACATACATTGGCAAGCTTCCATTGTGAAGGGACTTTACAAGCTGTTAATGATTTTCTGAAAAGATGACAGAGAGGTACAGAGAGTTCTTCTGACAATTCCTTTAGTATCCTATTGTTGATATTATCAGGTCCTGATGCTTTACCAACATTGAGAGTTTTAAAAGTATCACGTACCTCATCATAAGTTATATTTATTGTGTCAAGTTTATTAATATTTTGATGTACATGAAAGTTTGGTAAAGACTTATTTTTATCATCAAGTGAGGATTGTGATTGGAAAAATTGGTTAAGTAAATTTGCTTTTTCAGTGTCAGAAGTCAATATGGTGCCATTATCATTCAAAATCTTAATTTTACTATTTACTGTTGGTTTAATGAATTGTTTGAGAATTTTCCAGTAATCTGTTGTTTTTAAATTTTCTCCTTTTATTTTTTCTGATAATTGTTTAGTATAATCTGTTTTTGCAGTAGGTGAGTTGTTTTGTTTCTTAATGTTTTGTATTTGTTCCAGTGTTCAATATTATTTGATTTTTTAGCTCTGTCATATGCCCTTTTCTTTTCCGTATATATTTTCTTATTTCATTATGCATCCAAGGAGGGTCTGTTTGTCTTATAGTAACTATTTTGTTTGGAATGTGTTTTTTGATAATGTAATCAAGGTTTCAGTAATATTACTAGCATAAGTATCGATATCGTCACTTTCAAGGGATTCCCAGTTATATGAAGCCGCTTCACGTCGCATATTATTAAAGTTGCATTGATCATATTTCCAGATAAGACGTTTAAATGATTTAGCATGTGACTTTTGACAGTTAAGTAAGCAATATACTGGACAATGATATCTTAGTTGTTGTTCAAGAAATGGATCACCTACACCCGAAGCATGGACACTACACGAAGAAGAAACAAGGAAAACGTCAATCAGAGAGGAAGATGATTCTGTGAAATGCGTTGGTTCGTTTATTATTTGTGTCATGTTGTATTGATTTGCTATATCAAGTAGTTTCTTGGATGATGCTGTTTTTAAGATATCTAAGTTGAGATCACCGGTGATTATTATATTCTTAATGCTAGTATCAAAGGCAAGGTCAATTGATCGTTCAATATTGGAGCCAACAAGAAATTTCGAATGATGAATCGTTAACTCTATCCAAATACATTCAATACCACTAATCTCGAGATCTTGTCTTCTTACGGCTGGAATGCTATTTTTAACGTATACTAAAATGCCACCATGGTTATCAGCAACTCTGTCCTTTCTAAATGGAGTAGAAAAATTTTCAAAAGAGATCGATTCCGAGTCTATATTGCTGTTAAGCCATGTTTCTGTGACAGAAATTATATCAAAATGTTGTAGTTCTCCTTGTACGATATCTTTCTTTGAGAAGAAACTCTGGACATTATAATGGACAATTGATAAGGAGTTATTGAAACTCTCTAAGATTTCGTTTTACCGTTGAAGAGGAAGATGTATAATTAAAAGAGTCTGGGCTATTTAGATCGGGACCAGGATTTTTGTGAATATCGCCTGCTCTATATAGAAGAAAATAAACCCAGAGTTTGAAAAAAATAAATAAAAATATCTTCTCGGATATAAGAAAACAAATTAAAACCGAACCTCACCCTGGATATATACATGTTCAGGGACATTATGTAACACCAGGGTTGTAATTATTTCTGGGTGAGGAACTCCATAGATAAAAGTGACACAAGAAGAAGAGAGAAAGGAAGGAAGAAGAGGTACATGATAAATAAATCAGATTGGAAAAATATGAAATAGGAAAATGCATGTACATAGTCCTATTGTTAAGTGTGACCACACGACAGTTGCTTGATTGCAATTAATTGTGGATTAGATGACACTTTATTTTAAATTAAATGTGTATAGTATCAGTCATGCGACAGACAATTTTGACAGTTGAAGATGTGCAGGCTATATTACAAAACGTGTAAATAAAAGAATGACCCTTCATCGTGTAAATACTATACATTATTATGGTCAACATTAGCCGCATGAGTAGTTTCGAGTGTACACACGTTTTATGAATGAAATTCCATTATATTACTACAGTCGAATTATTATTATCATGGAAAATGTGGTTATTATGTATAAATGTAATAAAATATTGTGATAATTTGGTCTGATATGCTTGTTTACATTTAAAAGAATGATTTAATCAATCAAAAACATGACTGTCTTGACCAATGCTCAACATAGTTTTTTTTAAAAAGTGTTGTGAATTGAACACTTGTCAAAGTCATTTTGATTATATGCTTGTATCATATCAAAAGGTAAAGAAAAATTCAAAAAGAATGCTGTAGAAAATTAAAGGGAGACACAGGCAAAATTTTAATTTCTTAGTTTTGGATTGTTCTTTCATTATTCTGTAAATGTCCTCAAAATGAATACATTAAACAGTCAAAGGAACAAAACTTTTCTCCATATAAAGAATAAAATGGTGTTTTCCTGACTTGACCCGCGTGGGTCAGATTAGAGCGCTAAGATTTCACAATAGCTGTCACTGTGTACTCTGGAACGTTAAAGAACATGTCAAATCAATAACTTAGACTTGTTTCAATCATACCATATCCGCAATACCTGTTATTATAACTTCCGAGGGTTTGTTCACATCACATGACTTGTTTTTAAACTATTCGGTGATTCTGTTGGCGTCTAAACTTTGTTCAACATATATAGATATATTTAAGTTTCAAACCCAAAATATACAGAATTTATACAGAAATTCATGCTGGGACTTTAAGAAATGTCATTTTTGGGTGATTTGAGTACAGAAGATCATTTTTATATTTTTGTCATTATTTTGCCTGAGTATCCCTTTAAGGTCAATCAATGAAGAAAATTATAAACAACAAACTATTAAATGATGAAATTACAAAAAAAAAACCCAAACAAAACAATAAGCAACTGCAAAATAGGTTTTATTCTGTCTGAACTTGAGGCATTATTGATAAAGCGACATCTCTCATGCCCTTTTAGTACCGTTGGTGGCCGTCCATTTCAAAACATTAAAATAGAAGACTAGCAAATAAGAGTTCGATAGGAAATGAAATAACTATTATTTATGTAAACAAAACTAGTCCCTTTTGTGAACAAACTCATTTTCAAAAGGAAACCTACTTAACATGCTGGACAGTGTAACCAAGTAATAAACATTTAAGTTATACCGGGCTTCCAGACTTTCTGACATTCTCTTTCAGCACGAAACTTGAATTTTAAAGCACCTAAATTTACTGTTCCCGTGACGTGTCGCTGATGAAACATATGCGGTGGGTCTGTTTAATGTGCTTTATTGTGCCATCAACGCTATATTTTACCTTGATCAATGCAAAAACAAGATATCAATGGTGCGTGCTATGCATGGCTTAGAGCATGTCTCAGTTAGATAACAAGATTAAATATTGACGTTTTTCAGGTGGAATGAGACAAGCTGTAACTAATGCATAAAAAAGTTTCAACAAGGCGTGTGGTATAAAAACTTTACCGACTGTTAAGCACATTGCGCAGCAACTACAGTGGCAATTTAATTCATGTGTAACGCATAACATATTCCATAATTACTAAACATTTGGTGTTATCAGTAGTACAGCAGACAAACTGTTATGCAACGTTTTTATATCTACAACTTTGCAAAGAAAGAGTAATTTGCAAAGTTTAGTATGTGGTCAGTCAACCGTTAAATGTATTGTACTGAAAAATGGGAACATCTTAATTTTAAAATCAACACATATCCATTTATCGGATCAATTTATTAAAATTAAAGATACTGAACATTCATTTTTCAAGTTTGTCATAAATAACAGCACTACATAAAAAGCAAGTGTTTGTATAAACGTTCTGTATATTTGTAACAGGAAAGCAAACACCAGCTTCAAAACATTCCACTTTTTCTTTCATTAAAGCAGCCAAATATTACTTTAAGTCGTGATACTAATATTCTTTGATACATCAAACCTGTATACAACTGTTAATTGTCAGGGATACACAATTTTGTTCTGCTAAATGAAAAACAAAAAAATCTCTGTCAATATGCTGCTTGAAGGAAAGCATTTCAAAAAAAATCTTTGCTTACCCTTTTGTATCTTCATTTATACTTAAAATATAGTTCTTATTATATATTAAGTAAATACATATGAAAATGTTTCTTTTTTGTCATTTCAACAAGTATTTAGCAACTTGATACATATTCATTCAACCTACAATTGGTGAGTTTTAATGGTTAAAATGACAGCGTAGTATGCTCAATGATGATTAAAATATTGCACATAAATGTTTTCACACCGAAAGTATGGCACAAAAAACAGTACCTTAACGGTAACTTTCACTAGTCCATTCCATCTATAAAAATAAGAAAGGGACATGTCACTTTCCTTCATTATCTGATTCCATTCTAGGAGGAGGACTTTTTGTAACAACGTCATTCTTCATTTCTTCAATGTCTCGTTTAAACTTTGCTCTTCTATTTTGAAACCAGGTTATCACTTGTGCACACGAAAGTCCTAGTTTTGCAGCAATCTCATCCCTATCACTTGGTGTCAAATATTTTTGTAAAATGAAACGTTTTTCGAGTTCATATATTTGCTGATTTGTAAAAGCTGTTCGTGTTTTCCTTTTCTTTTTCGGGATTTGAGATTTTCCATGTTGATCATCTTCTCGGTTTTTACGGTCATCTGCAATAGATTTTTAAATATTAAATTAACTAACAAAACATTTTGTTCAAGTCACCTTAAATATAAAGGTCAAATCAAATAGAGTAGTCGTTGTAAATCTACATGTATTGTCAATAGTAATATTTTTATCTTCTAGGCAATTGGCCATCCAAATGTCTAATACTGTGGGAATCGAGACGAAAGCACATGAAAGCTTGCAACCCAAATATATTGTAAACAAGCTCTTAACCGCGTTTTAATATATTGTATGTCATTGTGTTAGGATGTTTTCGGAGTGCAAAATATTTAAACAGTTTTTTACATTATTTTATTAATTCAAATATTTATGGTTTCATATACAAATAACTTATTTTTCATTAGATTCATTAAAAGACAATGATTATATGGACTGCTCGGTATGCAGTAGGATCAAGAACGGTATTTGTTATTTCTTATTATAACAACGTGTTATAAAATGTGTGTTTTGTTCAGAGCAAGCTGGGTCGCAAATACATATATTTTATTTGGAGGGAAAGCTGATAGCTTGGCTGAACACACATTTTATTTGAAACTTGACAAAGACTATATGTGAAATTATTTTCGATATTTTTATTGTATAAAAACAAATCACGGAGCCTCTTTGCTTTTGTGTTGTATATATATTAAATTATTTATTACCGTTTAAAGACCACTAGAATGTTGACAAAAATGATTTTTCTGTGTTTCTGAGACTATCTGTAACATTATTGTTGTTGATGTTTGAAAGAGACAAGAAAAGAAGATCATGGATCAAGTACGTATATTATGAAGCCACAAGCGTACATTACAATTAATGTTAGAGTTTTAAGTTAGAGTTGATCTATTTAATGTTTTTTCTTTGAATCGTGATAACAGCATCACGTTAATTAAAGAACCGATTCGTTAATTTGATAATTAACATTCCTTCATCTTTAATGTTTGTTTTATTGACTAAATCTAGAGTTATAAAGGTTTTGGGAACATAATAAAATTATTACTTTATGTACAAGAAAATGTCTTCGTGTCAAGGAGATTGCAAACATAGACAACAGAGGACACAACCATCACATATTTTGAGGTATGTTTTCAGTGTTATTTGCATCACTAATGCAGTGTAATGCTTCTATCTAAAGAGAAACAAAAACACAACAAATTGTACAAGATGTGTCCATCACAAACTCTTTAAAGGCAAAGTTTTTTTTTACCTGAAAGCATTCTTTATTAGATTACAAATGCACTGGTTGTGTTCTTTTGTTTCCTGTCTGGTATTAATAAATACTAGCAAAAAGCCGCCATTTAATTTTAGAGTGTCAAATTTGAATATATGCAAACTATTAACGTAACAATAACAATCACAGTTTCTATGTCTTTATGATTATTTAAGCGACACATTACTATTATAAAATATCAAGTTTAATTAGAAACAAATAATGTTATTGCACAAAACCTCAACAACATCGTATTTAAACAAAGCTCGTTTCACACTATCGTGCGAAGATAAGATACAAATATAAACAGCTAACAACTTCAAACATAAACCCCCTGATTTTTTGCATATAGATTCTATGAAATTATTTTAAAATAGTGTGTGAAATAATTTGTTGCTGAATTTTGAGAGCTAAACCAAACCAATGTAATTAGAGATACACATTTTTATAATCATTTTCAGATAGTAGAGATATACATCAACACACGTAAGTTTAAAAATATACGGTACAAAGCAGTATGAAACAAATAGAACAGATTATGAACAAATATTATATATAATATATCTGCAAAAACAACGTTTTTCACAATGAACAAATAAAAACACAAACAAAGTTACATTTTATGAGTGAAATAAACGAAGCAAGCTTTTCTGTTCTTTTAAAATCAAATAGACATTAAGTAGATTTTGATATGTGTCGTCGCCTTGTTTTTACAATGCTCTACAAAAAACCCAAAAACATTAACAAATGATCTTAAGATCGATGTCAAGACACTTCCATTATGTTTAGCATATTGAGAATGTCAAAGGCGAATCTGACATAGAAACCCCGTCGCCTGTCATATTTCGTATTTGACACTAGGTTTTATTCTTACAAACGTCCAGCTGCCTGTGCAGTCCTAATCAATTATTGGGGTGTTGTAGTTTTTGTAAATTTTGTATATTGTTTCAGGTGTGCATTTTTTCTGTGTTTACCTTTGAGATGATAAGATTTTATTGTAGCAATTTATAGTGTTACATAAGACAAAAGAAATATTTGGAAGTGTTGATCAACAAAGACACAAGATGAAAAATATACGATACATAAGTCTTTTTTGTATTTTATGAAATCATCATACGATCACATTTTATTTTAATTATGCTTAGGTAATGATTCTATTTATCAAAGACAACGCCAGCAAGTCATAAAACGACAGCATAATCCAGCTTATGTCATCAGAAGATGATTAATGTTCACCTCTTATTGAATATACACAAAACCTTTCTAACATATTTATTCAAATGTAACAATGACATGTTGTTAAAAACAAACAAAACAAATTATCTAATATTGTGTATTTGAACAGTCAAAATATACCATAGATATATATTTATATTTATATTTTATATCAAATTATCAAATCACGTTTCAGTTTATTTGTTAAACTTCTTGTCCCTACGGATTATTGCTTTCTGAAAATACTACGTTTTGAAACCTTAAACTAGATATATCTCATAAAATGCATTTGCTTTTCACTAAGCAAGTCTGCAAAGTCCTATAACAGTTTAAAGATATACTATATTCATCCTTGAGTAAAATATTTTTATCACAGAAATTTATCCATATCTATGAAATTCTTACTGAATATTCTGATTTGAATAAAAGAACGAATAAACAATGTACGGGAAGCAGCGCTATCTATTATAGGTCAAGTAAAAATGGTATTTTCTTAAAAAAAAAAGCCAGATTTTTTAATGACACTATGTTTTCATACTGTGACCACTTATAGTGTGTACAGTTTAAATACCATATCAACTTTGTATGAAGTCAAAACTTGTTTATTTTATATTAATAAAGATACTATGTATTATCAAATTTGAACAATTAATACTTGTTTATACATAACAGGATAATTTGCATTTCGCTTAAAACAAACTTGTACATAAGTTTTGTATTTATTGTCACCATTGGTGCAGCAGTGTCAAATTACAGTGCTTGCTTTCTTCTGTACTATTTTAAACTACATTTTCAATCCTTGATGATGTTTACTATATTAGATATGTGATAATTGTTTATACTACTATGTGAGTGGGCGAATTCTGGTCGTGATTAGAATATCTGTAACAAATATTAAACCATGAACGATGGGATAACAAATAATTAAAGTGAGTCACGTGACAAAGTTTATATTTCAAATATGTCACATAAACGAGACATATATTGATTAGGGGTTGTGTTTTATGTCAAAGTTGAAGTACTTTATTTTGACAGATTACAGACGGATTCTTGAGAAAAGTATTTTAACAAATTTTGTGACTTTGAGGAAGTATTAGGTAATACCTGAAGGAAAAAATGCTTGCCAATGATGTTGATAAATATATATACCCATGACATTGCTTTGTATTGTATCATCCGAAATGACCAAAATAGTCATTGTACTGATATATTGTACTGTTAATTGTGTTTTTCTTAAATAATTTATTCTAAATGAAAACGAAAGCTTTTTCAGCATCTGTATCAAAATATAAAGACTAAGATATTCAATTTCTTTTCGAAAACAAACACCAAATTTAAAATGTAAGCGTTTCATGTCAGATATATTTATAGTGAAAAGAAAGCCTTAATAACTGCCAATTATACTAATTTGAATGGATTGAATGTTCATTATATATTAACATTTAAACAATATTTAGAATACGAATTTCTTTTCAATTCTACAAGCCATATTTACACATTATTTACTTTGAAAATATGCATGTTCCTCCATTATTGACAAAATGTATTAAAATGATATATAAAAGTGACGTTGAAAGATATCTGGCTACTTATTTTTTTCAGTCTGATATTTCATATAACAGATATAAAACGCGGGAACCTTAACCAGTATAATTCATTATGCGCGATTTTCGAGTAATGTGCAAAAAACGAATGCGTTATGGTGAATGTTAAAAGGCATTAAACATTCTGTATAATTAATTCTAAATACGTGTTTTATGGACCTACAGCGAAGCACTATCAGGTGTTGCTTATCTCAGATCATTTGCAGCATCTATCAAAACTAATCACATTTAATGTGTTAATCTAATGCATTTATATTGGCTTTGTATTACTATACAAATTAGTTGATCGACATTTGCAACAATGTTAAGTTTGAGCAGATATATTGTAAATCAGTTATGGTTCATTCACGGAATTTAATCCGTGTATTTATTTACCATACCTGTCCCCCTTGCCCCTCTATACTATCACTAGAGAGGACATCATGCTATTACTCAGACATATGCTTCAAGTGAACTGGCAATACTTTTGTTGTTTTTGTTATTACAGTAGTTGTTGTCAAAAGTAATACGATTGGTGATTATTAACACATCACGTGCAACAGGATCGTCAATGCAATTTGATTTACTTAAGCCCGTTGATTCAAAATTAATCAATATTCTCAATCGATATGCACGTTCTTTGGTTGTGGTTGTTGGTTTTTAAAGCAGTAGACTTAATGCAAATTGTTGTTAATAAAACATGTAAACTAAAATTGAATTTAAAAAGACAAATTCTTTCTGGAACAAAATATTATAATCAGTCATATAGATATTCATACTAAATCACTAAGCAACTCTAAACTCTATCAAGCTTTGTCAAGAAATATTTAATAAGAATATCCAAACGGTATATTTCAATTGTCGTTTTTTTATCAATATATGAAATATTCTGATGGAAAAGTTGTTCATTGTAAACCAATTAAATCAAATTTAAATTCACTTTGAAAATACACGAGATGTTTCTTTTTCTACAATAATAATTTCATGAATGTTTTTC